TGATATTTTCTACTTTATAATTATATAATTATATTTATTTTATTTGAAATGTTAATTTTGATCAATTAAAAACTTTAATTGCATACTAATTAAATGATATAATTATTTTACTTGTATTGGTTTTCTTTTAAAAAAAAAAATTATATTCAGACCACTGTTAGTTTGGAAACCTTATTCAAACTAGTAGTGGTCCGAATATGAATTCCCTTTTTTTTTTTTTGTTGGTTTGAATGTTTTATATTTATTTATGAGTTTTACACTTTATTTATTATTTCAATTATTATGCTATTTGTTAGTTTATGTCATTATAATTATGTTTATTCCATTTTGCATGTTTTTTATTGTCATAATTATATTTATTTTATTTAACATATTAATCTTAATTTATTGAATACTGTAATTATATTATGTGCATTGTGCTTTTATTTTTTATACAACTTGGTTGATATTTTCTATTTTATAATTCTATAATTACATTTCTTTTATTTGAAATGTTAATTTTATCTATTAAAAACTTTAATTACATACTAATTAAATGATATAATTATTTTACTTGTACTTTTTTAAAAAAAAATTATCTTCGAACCACTGTTGGTCTGGAAAACTTATTTGGACCAACAACGGTCCGAATATGAATTCTCTCTTTTTTTTTTCCTCTTAATGTTTTATATTTATTTCTAAGTTTTACTCTTTATTTATTATTTCAATTATTATGCTATTTGTTAGTTTATATCACTATAATTATGTTTATTCTATTTTGCATTTTTTTTGTCATAATTATATTTATTTTATTTAACATATTAATATTAATTTATTGAATACTATAAATATATTATGTGCATTGTGTTTTTTTTTATATAATTTGGTTGATATTTTCTATTTTATAATTATATAATTATATTTATTTTATTTGAACGTGAGTAGAACAAATTGGGCACGGTTTGGAGTGTCAAGGGAAAAAAAAAAAATTTTTGCTCAACATATTCGGACTACTATTGGTTTGGAAAACTTATTTGGGCCACTAGTTGTCTGAATAAAGTGCCCAGAATCTAGATGCTTCTCTTATGAGACTTTTTCATTCTTTTCACTTAAAGACAATACTACCCAAAGGAGCTCCGATTCCATTTCTCTAAAACCAGATGGGTGCACTTCACTACGATGGTCATTCGTAATCCCAACGCCATTAGTTAATCACCTGAAAATGACTTCACTGTTGTAATACTCCAAAATTTTGTGATATTTTAGCATTAAGTTAAGGATTAAATTGTGGAAAATATTGTTTTGGGCTTAATAGCCAAAATTTCCAAAGTTGAAGGACTTAAAAGAGAAAGTGAATTGGATAAGGATCAACTATTTTCTTTTTCCTTCTTTCTTTTTCCTCACCCGCGCATCTGCTCTTCTTCTTCTTCTCCCCTGCAGCCGGCAAAGAGCCCCAGCAACCGACTGCACCCCCTTTGAGAAACCAGTAAGAAAAACTTGATTTCTCCTTCTCTTCTTGCTCAATAACAAGTTTTGGGACTTAGAACTCTCTCTCTCAACCCAGAAATTTCAGATCTGCTGCTGCCTTCTCCTTCCTTTTGCCGCCGGTTGCTACTGTGGGTAGTGGGTTCGGTTTTTCTGGTAAGGAAACAACATGAACTTCATCTTTTCAGCCTTAATTTGGCTTGGGTGCACTTTAATCCCTTTTGGTTTCTTTCAATTTTTGGGTAGTGGCGTGAAAGCTCCTCCAAATTCCCGTCGGCTTCTCCCCCTGCTAGGTCCGGTTTGCAGCTGGAAAATTCTGGTATGTTGACAGCCCCTCCAAGCTTGAATTTCATCAATTGATTGCTGCCTTGTGATGTCCGAAAATCTGCAGTAATTAGGGGATAATTCTGGTAGCTTTAGGACAAAATTAAGTATTGATTCAAGTGAAATTTATGTGATTGAGTGTTAATTGACTGCTGTGAGATTTTTGGAGAAAAAATTAGCTAGTGTTTTGGCCAATTTTTGGAAGTGCAGTTACTGTTCACGCACAGATGGCCAATAATTAACGGGCATTTAAATGATTAGTTTGTAATATAAGAACAAATTTGGAAATATCTGATAATGTGGAAATTGATAGAAATAGCATCATGAGTAGGGGGTAGTCATGGTGATTTTACTTTTGAATCTGTGGTAGGATAATTAATTCTTGGGTATTTTGATTAAGTTCCTGATTGTTCTGTCAGTTTAGCACTAGGATTGAGTTTTCGATTTATGCAAGTGAGGTAAGTAAATTTATGATAATGCCCGTATAGTTTTTAAAAGCATGTTTTGATTTGTTTTTTAAGTGGTGACGGGACTAAACCCGTTTTACACGTATGATTGATTGAAATGAAATTTTTATGCTTTTCATTAAATTGAGCATGCTTACTTGAAATTTAATTGATTGACCTGATGATTTGAAAGTGATTGCTGAATTATGATTTTTTTTTTTTTGTGAAAACCAAAACATATTGTCTCCGATGTGGTCATGTTATTAGTGACCCTGCTAGTGGGGGTTAAACGCTAGCACATGTCGACATGTTAGTGATAGAACCGATTCGTTCGAGTGACCCTGCTAGTGGGGATTATACACTAGTAAATAGTGCATCTGCCAGTGGGTGATTTATAACACTGGCCGTGATCTATAGAGGAGACGTCTATTTTGTTCCCGTACTGTATCCGATTTTTGTGATTACACTTGTTGGCATGCTATAAGTTTAATTAAGGGCACTCCATATTTTACCTACTGAGTTATCTCACAGTTTTTCCTTGTCCACCATTTCAGGAAGCGAAACCAAGAACGAGGAAACAACGGGAAGTGACGAGTTAGAAGGCTAGACATTTTGTAAATTGAATATGGATTTTATATGTAGATCATGATCTTGTAAGTTAGACTGTATTTGGAGATTTTATGATATTAAAGAAAATTTTAAAATATTATCTTCAGATTTTGTGTTATCAAATTATGATATGATAAATTTCGAGCCTTGTGCATTTGTGGGACCCTCTCACGAGTGTATGACGTTTGTCGCGTCCCCAGATTTGAGTTCTGGGGCATGACAACTGTGGTGTTAGATAACATCATTGCAAAACCGCACACATATAGAGTTAAAGATTATTACTTTTAAGGTTATGCCACGCCATTGCTACATCACAAACATATAGGCTTGGAATTGTTAATTTCAAGGTTAGACTCTATGGCTTTCAAGACTTTTATAGCATGTTGTTTGAACGGGAGTAGAATGAATTAGGCATGGTTTAGGGTGTCAAGGGAAAAAAGGAAGGTTAAGTGCTCATTTTGGTCCCTCAACTTTATCGATTTGCACATTTTTGGTCCTTAAAGAATTTTTTGCACATTTTTTATCCCTCAATTCTAAGAAATACACAACGTTTGTCATTTTGTCAATTTGGGCTGTTAAGACCACTCACGTGGCATTTTTTATTATTTTTTTTATGACATAGAGAAGACAACTTAAAAGGGTGTTGATTTGGACTCTTTTTTTATGACATATCATCTTCCCGCGCCAAAGCCCCTCCAATGCCCCTCCAATGGGTTCCACGTTGCTTGCAAACCACCAATAAAGAATAAGAATTTCAATTTCTTTAAATTAGATTTTATTTTTATTTAGATTATTTTTATTTGTTGTTTGATTTTTTTCTATTCATAACTATAATTTTTAATTTTAATGTTTTTATTATGAACTAATTTAATTAACTAAGGCTACAAAATAGCAAAATCAATTTGATCTAGATTTTTATGCTTTTAAGATTGCTATTTCATAATGAGTATATATTATTGTTCTTAATGCTTTTAATGCTTGATCACCATTAAAATTGATATTGAGAGCACAATTGAAACCAAGAGAAGATTTTATGCAGTAACTTCTAATAATATATAAAACGAACTGAACAAAAGTCAGAGATGGATCAACGTGATTTATATGAAATTAGTGATAAGTGGGCTTAATTTTTTTACGGAAACTAAGGAATTTTATAAAATATAATGCATTTTTATATATTTAAATTCATATAGAGATATAGAGGGTTAATAGGTTGAAGATATATTTGATATAACTCTAGAAAGTATGCCAAATATGATAGGAAAGTTTAGTGTTACATGAGTAGTAATATTTTGAAAGCACAATAATCTGAAATCTATATTGGTTGGTTATGGTGAAATGGGATGCCTTAGTACCTCATATCTTGATTAGCTTTTATTTTAATTGTTATTTTACTTTTATTATTTTTAATTAAAACTTATTTCTTTTCAATTGTTCAAATTAATTTAAGATTAATTACTTGATACTTAGTTAATCACATCCATTGTGAGTTCAACACTCTTCTCATCATTATATTACTTGGAGCAACTAGTGCACTTAGTAAAGTGATTTTAGCATATCAATGAGTTAGGGTATGTCAGCCATATAGTCTTCCAGGGACTTAATTGCCACTATAGATTTTTCTTGTCCTTAGAATAAATTCAAACTTGAATTAATTAAATTAAATTAATTCTTTCTACTAATTTATTACGGAGCTTGATTAATTTATTTTTCTTGTGAAAATACTATTTTCACTTAAATTAATCCATTTCCATAAATTTGGATTTTTATAAATCTCAATCCTTAGAATGCAATAAATGTGTGACCCTCTAAGTTTCTATCATGATGACAGTGAAAGATATTCATAGACCAAGAGTGGTATATCTAGCAACATTATGGGCACCCAAAGTAACAAAAGGAGTTGATGGCTTCACTAAACCTTGTTATGACTAAGACCTTGTAATTCAATTCCTTTGTCATTGATATCTCCATTAAGGAAGATGCATGCTATGTTTCATCATTCTTAGAGCTCAATATACCTTTCTCTGATTCCTAAGATAGGCATTCTTATTAAATGAGCCTTCATTCATGTCATGGCCATGGACTTTGCAAGTAGTCACATTTTAATTAAAGAGTCAGAGTTATCTTCTCTCATAAACTCTATAGGGACAAATCTTATCTTGACTCACTTATTACTCTCACGTGATTCGTGATGCATCCAAAAACTATATTACTTACAACCTCTCAAAATGACTGTTTTAACAACATTAAAGTACATGAGTTTTCGCATAAAATAATGAGGATCTCATGTCAAAAGATTACTTACACTTACACTTACATCATAGCTGAGAAGCTACTAATGACATGTACATGTAGAGTTCTCATGGTAAGTCAATCCAGTGCATAGCAAAATGTCACATATGATAATCTTTATATCATTGATCTCATATCTCAATGATATATATTTAAGAATGTTGCTATTATATCATATGGTTTTCACCAAGGTTTTTAAAATTGGACCGGATCGGCCAGTTGAATCGGTCGGACCGATACCCGTAATGAAAACGGTTTGATTTACATAAAAAACAGTTTGATGTCAAAATCGGTCAAAAATCGATCAAAACCGATGAAACCGATGGAACCGATAGAACCGAAAAAACCACATGTTCAATTTCTAATGCAATCTTCTTTCTATTTTTTCCAATTTCACCCTCACCATTCCTTTTTTATACCGATTTTAACCCTTAATTTTAATAAGATTACAAAATTACCTGCCCTTCTCATCAGATTTCCCTTGTTGTTTGGACCGGTCGATTCACCAGTTCAATCAGTTAAACCGATCAAACCAAGAACTAGACCCAAAAATGGTTCAATAACAGGTTCGATTTTAAAAACCTTGGTTTTCACTAATAGTGGCGACTACTATTACCCTTTGATGCAATAGACATCCTATGGATTTTATTGGTGTTTAACATACGCAAAAGAATATCAATTAATATTCAATAAATAATTCCATAAATATAATAAGTGTAATCATAAATACATAAGATTGTATTACCAACCCAATTATCTTGTAGGACATACTTTAACACCTACACCCAACGTGAGGTTGATGATCAGAATATAATATAATAACTCTTTCCAAATAGTCTCTTAAATTAGCTTTTATGTCCAGTCCTTCTTTGATTAGGAAAAGCCTTATAATAAATTAAAGAAAACAAGAAAATTAAGTCGAATCAATACTCCTAATAAGGCTTATGCGTATCGGTAGAAATTTTTCAGGCACATGCTCATATTTTAAGACTTAAAATATGTCTTCCTGAACCCGCAATTAATTTCCTCAATTTTTGCATTTGGTTCCAAAGCTTTTCAGTTATGATGAGATCAAGTCCTAATTGTATAAGGAATTCTGTTCTAATAGGATTCTTATCTACACATTAATTCTTATGTCCCTAACCTCAATTAGGACTAATCATTTTCTCCTAGTCTTATTAGGAATTCCATTTAAAGTAGAAGACTTAATTTATGTCACAATTCATTGCCTAAACTAAACTCTCTTCTTATGTCCATGTTGTGTGTGACCCTCTAGATTTCTAATACATTGACAGCATGCTTTGAACCTCTTAAAGGATACAAGCCAAGAATGGTATCTAGCAACACATCATGATTATTTAACTATTAGAAAGATCAATGACCCGATATACCTTTCCATGAACCATTACTGTATAATTCAATCTTTTCATCAAGTGACATTTCTATCTTGCTCAAAGCACAACTATATGTCACCTTTGTTTACACTCACTATCGACATTCTTATACATGGAGAAAACATATGTACTGAATGATAGGTGAGATCTCCATCTCAACTATCGTTCCTTACTACGACCATGGACTTCCAAGCCATCTTTTCCTCCATAAGTAACTTTGAGATAAATGCTCTCATTATCAAGAATGATGAATCTTATCTTGACTAGATGCTTACCTTCACATGATTCCAAGTATTGCATTACTCGTACCTCATTATTTCAAAGATTTGTTCACCAGTCAAAGGATCACTTACACCTTCACCACAAAGTGAACCTCTAATGACACTGATAATATACCATATATCGTTGCCATTGTATTCTTAATTAGCACCCACTTGCCTTCGTTGAGAAATTTCCATCTCCATGACCTGTGAGAACAATCACTACCTTCCAACCAACGTAAGTGTTCGTCTCAATGCATTATTAATGATCCATCTTAATAATCTTTGACCAAGGACTATTCAAGAATGATTCAAGCGTGCCCAATTGGAATCTCACATTCAGTACTACCCTTTGAATTTCCATTAGCAGAGACAATCATCCTATGGCCATTTTCTGCATTTAAGTTCGTAGAAATAACAAAGCAAATGCGATCTACTAATTTCTATATATATATATATATAGAGAGAGAGAGAGAGTAAAGGAGTGAATATCATGTACAAAGATTGCCTAATGTGCACTAGCTTTGAGGGCACACAGTCTAACAAAAAGAAGTATTTTGCTTGAAGATACTATTGCTATTTGTGGGTTGTGGTTTAGATTTAAAAGACGTACATCAATTATCCCTTAACTATGAAGTAGCTTTATGGACTTTGTTGTTAGGGTATAACCTAGAAGCCAATGACGTTGACAGTACTTTATGTATTAATTTGTAATAATGCTTTATAATATATTATTTGGCATTCTTTATCAAACATTAACTATTATTCTTCTACATATATTAAATATCAATAAAGTTCTTATAATGGTTTGTTACATCAGAAGGTGATAGCAATCATTGATATTAGTGAGAAATGTATAATGAAATAGCATTGTTCTTAAATTGTTTATAAATTAGTTGTATGTACTAATAAGATGGGACATCGATTGATGTAAAGACCAACACATGGTGAAATTTTGCTAGGTGGCAAGACCATTTCTTTAAAAATCATGTCTCATCACATGCAAGTGATTCAAAGGGAGTGAGTTCACTAAACTAACTCACCATGAGAATACTACATGCACATGTCATTAGCAATTTGTCATCTATGACACAAGTGTAGATGATTCTTTGAATTATGATTGTCACATTTTATGTGAGGACATGTATAT